AACTCAGATTGCTTAGTATAGGTGAACTTATAGTATTTCTCGAGTAAACATTTGTAATTTTAAGTTATGTAATTGGTGGTAGCTATATTAAGAGGTGTTATTTTGACACCTAGGGTCATTGTGTGTGGGGTAGTAGCAAAGATTGATTTATTAGTTTTACTGAGAACATTTTTTTTAATGTACGGAAAAACAGTGGACATTCAAAGTCATAAATAGTAGTTGCAAGTGGAAAAAAAATCAAATATTCAATTTCTTTTTGGTTTCATTTCTTTTTTGGGGTAATCGATCTGAACTTTTTTAAGATTGCTTTCACTCCATCTAGTTGCAAAAAATAATTTCTAGGGTTATTCTTATTAACATCCAGCAGCCTTGCCTTATATCGCTCGGAGAGTCTCCACTGATTATGGTGGTGGGGGGAGGGGGTTACAACGGGAGCTTTACCTTCTTCGTCCAAAGTGAGAAGGTCAAACATTTGTTCTGGATGCATAGCTCATAGATCTTCTGTCAGAATCACCACTTCTGTGTATATGATGGAATCTATGAACTAATACAGTAAAAAAACATTTATAATATATATTTTCAATTGTAATATATATACAATTTTTACAATCGAATACAAGTTTTCTCCACTTGGGAGGTTACTTCATGGTTCACCAGTCCATTTTAATTACCCTGCAATCACTCAGCTTAGGGATGTAAGAGTCCAGAAAACATCTGCCAGTGACAGTGACTTAAGTCTTCTTGCTATATATATATATATATATTGTTGTATAATTGTAAGTTGTATAAGAGTTGTATAATTTGTAAATGGGGGATGGTCCGCCATTTGGCAGACAAACCTCCCTAGTAATTATTGAAGATTGAGACAATGCAATATATATATATATATATATATATAATATATATATATTATATATAGAGAGAGAGAGAGAGAGAAACACTTTATTTTCATAAAATATAAATATAAAGGATTGCTGCCCAATTATATTGGGTTGCTATATACACAGCATACTCTTCTATCCTTAAGACAATATATGAACTTATATATAAATATACAGAAGCATTAGTTAATATTAGTTAATATATATATATATATATATACAAATTATACAACTGTTCATTTAATTGTATTTGTTTTTTCTGTTTATTTTTATGTCACTATGATACACTTCTTATCGGATGAATTAATCAATAAGGTGGATTGTTTATCCTATTTGTGATATGTAAACAACTATATCTGTTAACTCTTGTTGAAACGAGCTTAGTATTGTGTTTACTATTGCACTGTGAGTATGGAAGAAAATATCATTCATGATAGGCATATTTTGTTGTATTATTTTAAACAAGATAAGCGTACTGCAGAATTTCATGGAAAAATTGTAGTGTTTATGGGGATGATGCCTTAATCGAACGCACCTGTCAAAATTGGTTCACCAAATTGCATTCAAGAAATTTTGAGATCAATGATGCTCAACGGTCTGGTTCCCCACATGAAATTGAAACGAGTAATGTTGTTAAGGCCATTGTTGAAAAATCCCATCAAAATCTCACCCAATCAGTGCGAGAGATTGCTATGGTCCTAAATGTGTCGCACACAAGTGTAGAAAACAATTTGCACAAGCCACTAGCAGATCCGGGATATAATTTTGGGGGGCTTCAGCCCGAAAGCTTTTTTTTTTCATACATACACACCACACACACACACACACACATATATATATATATATATATATATATATATATATATATATAATATATATATATATGTAAAACGATATTTACTTTGGAAAAAAAAAGAAAGATACTGACTACCTATATGAAATGGTATTTAAGTGATTCTTGAATCCTATTAAATGTAATTAAACGAACAATAATACTTTAAAGGAAGGAGATGGTCCGGGGTTGCGGTCATAAATAGGCTAAATAGTGGTACAACTATTTAGCCTATTTAAGACCGCAACCCCGGACCATCTCCTTCCTTTATAATGCAACGGTCAACTATTAAATATTCAATAATACTTTAAGAGATAATGTTTTATCATAAACATAGTTATATTTTACCATTTTGGGGGAGGCTTCAGCATGAAAGCCCTTCCCCCTCCCGCCCCTCTCCCCCCGTAGATCTGCCTGTGGCACAAGATCGGCTGTTTCCAGGTTTAATTTTTGGTTCCCTCACATGGTTTTTTTTTAAAATCACAACAAATGTTATAACTTCAATACAACTTTAGCTATCAACAAGAAATTTAGCAGGAATTTAGGTCCACATAAACTACACAAAATGACATCAACAAGACCTTCATAAACAAACTACAAATGGAGATAAAAAGTAAAAACCTATAAGGAGTTTTGGTTTATTTATTCCTTATGTAGGCATTAAATAAAAAAAAACATTCATATAGCTTTGAAGAGCAATAATGCAGCTTTCCAACGGATATAGTAACATCGAATTTGGAGAACATCCTGAATAGTTATGAATGATCGGAAGGATGTTGTGTTCCACCAAGACAACACTAGGCCCCACACCTCATTGGCCACTCGCAAAAAATTATTTAGCTTTGGATGGGACATTTTGCCTCACCCTCCCTATTCACGAGACCTAGCTCCAAGTGACTACCCCTTATTCCGGTCTCTGCGGAATTCCATAAATGGAAAGAAATTCTAAAAGAAAGAGGATATCAAAAATCATTTGGATCAGTTTTTTTACAATAAACTCCAAACATTCTATGAATATAACGTTATGCAGTTAGTGGAAAGATGGGAACAAATCATATTAAATAATGATCAATATATTGTTGATTAAAATAAATTTTATGTATATAATTTATTTCACCCATAAGAGTTTTATTTCACCTTGAAAAACCGAAACAACTTATTTACCAACCCAATATAACTTTTATTTACATGTATTCTGTAGTTCAGGTTGTATCATCTTTATCAACAGAAAATAAATTGAACAAAAACGTAGTTCAGACAAATTTTTAATTTCTTTAAAAATCTATATTATATTATACATCACACTCCATTGCCGTTACTATAAAATCTACCAAAATATACATATAAGAGAATTAAAATAATGAAATTAAGATGTAATGAGCAAATCTATCAATATAGACAAAATAGAGGTGGAGATATGGAAAAGAAAGTCATAGGAAAAAGGGAAAAAAGTAGAATACTAACCAGCTGTGCCCATCCCCCCCCAAGGTTGATGTATATAGCTATACAGTAGAATGAACCTCTCCCACGATATTTTATTGCTCTCATCCTCTTATAAACAGTGAAAGCTAAAGTAGAAATTTAAAAATGATAAGTCACATACAATTACACTTGCTGTGGTCCTCTCGAAAGTTCATAACCCCATTGAAATAACCCTAAAACTAACTAATAACTAATAACACAGCAACGTATATAATGGACGAAAGGTTTATTGTAGATAAATTCTATGAGCTTATTAAATAAATGTGTAGTTAAAAGAGAATGGAATTAGGGTATCTGGGGATATTATAGCACAGAGATAATAAATTGAGTATTACTGAAAAAAAATCAACGTAAAACATGAGATTAAAGAAAATAAAAAATTAAATCAAAGGTAAATGAGAAATTTGCCACAGAAAAGAAAGAGGTAATAATAAAAAAAAAGTATATATATATATATATATATATATATATATATATATATATATAAATTGGATGCAGTTACTGGGAGAATATCGAGGATAAGGAGTTGCTATGGATGTTTTAATAAATTCAGAATTTGGGAATAGGCCAAGGATAAGTTTTGTTTTTCTATTTTTAGATTCATTGCTGTCTCTGGTTGAAGCTGGATGTGGAGAGTTTCAAAGATGAGTAGTTTGTCATAGTTAGTAACGAAGGGTAGGATGGAAGTTGAAATCAAATATATGGTTTAGGAAGAGAGAGTGTTCGGATAATTTGGAGGCGGTAAAGTTACCAGAGGACACAGAATATTTATATCGGGTGATGCGGTATTTTAGAAGATTTTTATAATATAAGAGAAAGAACATTTTAGAGTGGAACACAGGACACGGTAAATGATATGAGAGCGGTGTGAAAGAGGTACAGGATCTTTTAGGGACGTGTTAAGATTAGAAGATGTGTTATGAGATTTAAAGGCAAGTCGTAAGTTAGAGTTGGCAGATCGTTAAACTTTGTTTATGTTGTCAGAAAGATTAGGGATATAAGACAGAGATCTGTATATGGAGTCCAAAATGGGTAGTGGAGAAACAGTGGAGGTTGAGATTGAGGAAGAGCGATTTATGTGGTCTTTTATAAGTTTGTTGATGATATAGGGAGGGAAATTATTATTTGAAAGGATCTTAATACGTTGGATATTGGATACATGTAATTGGGAGTGACTTCGGAGGATGAGATTTTTAGCAACATCAAGTTTTTGGTGATAAGGATGTTTGGAATGGAAATTCAGAAGTCTGTCTGGGTAAGTTGGTTTAGTGTACCAGTCAGTGGATATGGTGTTGTTAGGATTCCTTATGATGAAAGATTGAGAAAAGAGAGAGAATTATTTAATTCGAGTTCTACTGTAAAGTTGAGGTGGGGGTGGTAAGAATTGAAGGCTGATAGGATATTGGGAAATTTATCTGGATTGAGGACTAAAGTCTATGATTTTCGGATAAAGATGACATCATCTGGGAACAGAGGAACAGATATATATATGTATATATATATATATATATATATATATATATATATATATATATATATATATACATATATATATCTGTAAGAAAAAATATATTTTAAAAAAATGATAATTCTTACACACTGAAGTGAGAGTTCAAACCAAAAATTGAAAGCATAAATAAACAAAATAATCAAATTCATACATTTGACTAAATGTCAGTTTTTAAATACATCTTTTGCTAAACATTAACATCACTTCTATTTAAAAAAATATGAAAATTAATATAAGGTTAAATTTGAAACTATGAATAAATCATTTACAAAACAATAACACATTTTATTTAAGTTTAAAAGCAACCATTGAAGTCATCCTTTAGTACTCTATGACAACTTTCTGTTTTACAAGACTGTAAATCTTTGAGAAGTAACTGCATTTTCTTCCTGCATATTCTACTAATTTCATTTCTAAGATTATGAAGTTGGTATTGATCTTCTTTTATATTGTAAATTTCTTCAAAACCCTTTAAAAGAAAAAAAAAAAAAAGAAAAAATATAATTTTCAAAGTTCTCCTCAAACTTAAATCAAACATAACATTGTATACCAGCTATTTCATGTTATCCATACTTTTTATCCACTGAGATATATTCCAATTAATAGTATACAAATATTTCAATGTACAGATTACCATAACTCTTAATGTAATCCTATAATATAATGATTTAATAGTAATAAAAAAGAAAAATATGGAAATTTTATGCATACTCGTATTATAAATTATAAATCTAGTTAAAATGTTCATTTACTTTTGGTTTATAGTTTTATTTTCTTAAATAACGAATAGTAAAAAACAAACAAAATTGTAAAGGTGGGTTTGAAATCAGTTTTATACATAATTAATGCCTTAGAAAGCAGACACCGATAAAGATTCTTTCCATATTCTGGACCTTATGGTAACTTAGGATACAGTTAGCTCTACACAACTGTTTTAACTATAATAATTTCAAACACCTATTTTTCTCCTAATAATTTCAGGTACTCAATTTTTTAGGGTTAAGTAGATCCAGGGAGCAAATATCAATTTGTTTTACCTATATTTAAAAAACCCACTTATTTTCAATCAAAAGGAATTTTATAGTTCAGATTCTAAGACAGGAATTTAACCAGGTTACATGAGCATAGAAATTGAGGAAGTTCTTCTTGATGGACCAGATCACTCCTAAAGACTAAGAATAAATATAAATAAACATTATAAAATAAGGCTCTGTTTATTTTTCACCATATTTATTTTAATTTTCATAGCTACGTTTCGGCCGGTAAGCCATCTTCAAGCCATTATATTCAACCATGCTTTGGATGGTTAGATGGTCCAACTACATGCAAAAAGCATGGTTGGATAAAATGGCTTGAAGATGGCTTATCGGCCGAAACGTAGCTATGAAAATCAAAATAAATATGGTGAAAAAATAAGCAGAGCCTTATTTTATAATATTAGAATTTTTCACCTAAAACAACCACATATGGATATAAATAAACAGTTAATCTTAAATTTATATCATTGATCAATAAGAATCTTACTTTGTCATCAAAGAACTGGCAGTAAATAAAATTGCTCTTTGCAGTTAATACTCTTACACAAGAGTAAGTATTATTTTTCGCATCTTGGCATTTACAATCAGCTAGTTTAGAACATTCCTGGAAATAAGAATATAATACTCTATAAAACAATAAGCATCAGTTTATTAACCATAAGCCTAGGTCAAGGAAACAAAAATGCACATGTGAGTATGTATTTACTAGCAGGGATGCCCATCCCCATAGCTGCATACTTTCAATTTTAGTTGGGGGGAGGAGATGGAATACAAAAAAAAATGAAATAAAAATTTATTATGTGTATGTATGTATTATGTACAAATTCAACATAATTATTGTTAAATGAAGAAATATAATTTTGAATATTTAAATTTATTTGTTTATATGTTTGTATAGTTGTAAGGATATTTATTTTTTTGTTTTACTTATTATATATACTTGAAAATATCTTTAAAAAATACAATTGAATATATAATGTATTTGTTTGGCTTAAACACAGGGGGAGGGGAGACAACTTGGTACATTTCTAGAACATTTTCAAATAAAAATGAATAATGTAAAAAAGTGAAAAATGTTTTCTTGTTATTGTTCTTGATTTCTTAATTTGAACAACTTCAAATATAAATACGTTTTTCACAGTTCAACTAGTTTGTCATGGAAAATGGATAAGAATATCAAATGAAAATTGAGGGATCTCGCATCAAGACCTCCCAATTAATAAAGATCCCAAGCAATTATAACCACCAATCATCAGGTGTTTTAAAGAAACCGGAAGATATGTAGACCTCCAATCTTGAAGATACTTTGACTCATTTATGGAGACTCACTTTCTCCAAGGCTTGTGAAAAGCCTTATTCTAGACACTAAGGTTAGCAACCTGTATCCCAATATAACAGATTGGGCACAGGGTTCAATAGAAACTCAGAAGGACTACCTGCTCTGTTTCACAGAAGGGTTGAGGAAAGACTCAACCGGCTTAACGGGTGCAGGAGTCTATATAGAGAATGTAAATATAGAATCAAGTATACCATAAGGCAAACATGCTACAGTGTTTCAAGTGGAGGTGTTTGCTATACTTTCTGCAGCGACTTTTTTAGAAGTTATTAATTGTAAGAGTTATCTGGCATTACTATCTATTCGGATAGTCAGTCGGCACTTCAAGCATTTGAATCCCCCAAAGTGACCTCCACACCATACGGGAGAGTAAACAGGCTTTGGAGACATTGGCCTGCTCTAAGAGAGTGGAGCTAGTGTGGGTTCCCGGTTACAAGGGAATTAAAGGCAATGAAAAAGCTGATGCCCTCACATGGAAAGAAGCGGAATTTCCTATTATAGGTCCGGAACCTGCAATAGGAAAATCCAAGAAACATCAGTAAAAAGAAATCCTTGATTGGATTTGGAAAAGAGCAAGTAAGGAGAGGAGGAAATGCACTGGGCTTAGACAAGCCAAACAATTTATCAAAAACTCCTACCCCTCTAAGTGGTAAAAAACTAAGTGGCTGCTGGGCCTAAATAAAAAGAAAATCCGATTCATCATCAGAATACTAACAGGCACACTGCAGACTTAATAGACATCTAAAGATCTGCGGAATAGTAGATGATGAACTTTGCAATCTGTGCAGAAATGCACCAGAAACTACCCTTCACTATACAACAGAATGCAACCAATTTTCATTGCTCAGATAGATTATGAGAAGACGAAGCTACCTCCATAAAATGGTCCAGCTTTTTGAACTTCATTAGAAAAACGAAAGGGTTTGAGACAGAGTTGAACGTATAATAGACAACCATTGGTATTAGTGTAGTCTTCCCACCAGTACCAGAATAGACAATGGTCCGATTTTCGGCAGAATAGTAGGAAACTTAAGTTTTGAGTTTTTTTAAAGTAAGTCATGGTTTTTAATGAATAGGAAACGATAACTACAATATTAGTTAATATAATTAATTAAAAATTGCTTCACTGTGAACTAGACAAAATTTGCTTCAAACGAAAGTATTCTATTGTTAAAACTATTTAGAGGACTTTTGAGTGAATAAAATAAATAAATAAAGCTATGTTCGGATACAAAAGAAATCATGAATTATTTACAATTATTATTTATCAAACTCCAATTATACTACAGACACTGCACTTTTAGAAAAACTATCTTATTTAGTATGCTTCAAGTCAACTGTTAAGCTCCCTCTAGATTTAAATTAAACTTTGAATGAAGCTTAACGAAGATATTTGATTAAAACAAATTATAATAAAAAGTAAACTGTAACGATACTTGATTTATTTTCTATATTTATACATAATGAAATAAATAAAAATTAAATCAATTTTACATTTTTCAGAATAAAATAAAACTTGCAACAGAATAGATAGAAGAAAAAAAAACTTCTTATAAATGAGAACAAAGATGAATAAAAAAAAAACAATGTAAATAAAAACAGCTCTGAAACATGGAATAAAATAATATATAACTGTCCCACTATAATATATTACTGTAATTTCCAATCATTAATAAAGAAAAGAAAAAACAAACAAATATATTCCTTACAATGCTGAGTATTATGCAATATAATAAAAAAAAAAACCAAAGTTGAACATCACGTGATGGACGCACGTAGGTGAGGGTCATTGCAGATGAACCACTGGCACTTCAGTTCTCCCACAGCGGTTTGGTAAAGTAGCTAGACTGTAGCTAGGGCTACAATCCATAACAATGTATATATAAACCATAAATCAGTCTATATTGAATATAAACAATATAAGCTATGGGCCTATGAACAATATAATTAACAATTGATTTCATTTTGATGAAATAAACCAAATCATCAATTAAATAAGTTATTATTAAAATAAAATAAATTAACACTGTGGCATTATCATACCACCCACCAAATTTGTCTTTGGGCAAAATTTACACATTTCAAATCAATCAGGAGATAGCAATGGTGCTAATTTTGCAACAGGGCGAATAAGGTCATCCTTCGCAGTTTTAGATTCACTATCCTCACTGTGAAACAAATATATTCCTTACACTGCTTAGTTATATTACAATAGTTTACAATACAATGCAATAAAAAAAGAAAATCAAAATTGTACGTTACATGGCGGACACACGCAGGTCTGTCGATACAAAAAGTTGATGCCCGGGGACACAATCTCAAATCCAAAAGTATTTTCATAAAAACCATTCCCCAAAACACATAATAGTAGACCCTCATATTGATTTAATCTGAAAAGTTACAAAGTCAATGCCCGGGGGCGCTATCTCAAATCCGACAGTATTTTCATAAAAAGTACCCCCAAAACATAATAGTCGACCCTTGTACCGATTAAATCCGAAAAGTTACAAAAAGTCGATGCCAGGGGGCGCTATATCTTAATGCTGGAGATCATTTTCAAAAACATAAACAGACCTACATATCGAAGAAATCCTTAAAATCACAAACAAAATTATTCGAATCGTATTTATATCTTGAATAACGAATAATATATAATAGATAATGCATATTATTCATAGACAAATAATTATCTGTCTAAAGGTCATTGAATAAGAATAACGAATAAAAATTTATCTATTATTTGAATAACGCCCAACACTGCTTCCAGCAAACAGAGTATCATTTAGAGACTTGACAATAGGTTCTGAAATATCGTCCTGATAGTTTTTAGCGGCTGTTTTAACTCCTCTTTCACAAAAATGGAGCTTTGTGGTGCCATCAAAGACAAATCCTCACCAAACCATCACTGAGGAAGGGTGATGACCTCTTTCCACTCTTCCAATGACTTCCTGTGCTTCTTTAGAGCTATCTGTGTACATACGATCATTTTGGCGATTAAATTTTTCTTCAATTGTAAGAATTTTCTCATCGCTAAACAAAATCTTTCGATGAAGACCATTGGTGTAACGGCCAAGGAGCACTTTGCATCTATCCACTCTAATTTTTTTTTTTAGGGAAGGGGTTGTTAGCCTTTGTCCTGTCATTCTTCGAAATGTACCCATCCTAAGGTCACTTTTTATTAAGCGAGACATTGATCTGACAGAGATTCCCATTTCCCGAGACATGATTTGTTGTTTTCTTCTTTCTGGATTTCTTCTGATTCGAACAGCCACTGCTCTCACTGCATTTGCCATTCTCACACTGTGTGGACAGCCCGGTCGAGGTATGTCACATACAGATAGGGTCTCATTATATCTATACATAGTGCGGTACACGAACATATGGCTGATAATCAAAAGATTCAGAGTGTCGAAAATCTCTGACCTACATTTTCTAACTTTGTGTAAGGCGATCACAGCTATTCGGTTTTCTTTATCACCCCACACCATGATAACTGAGCGAAAGAAAACTACAAACTAATTGGGATTATTATCCTGACATGTAAAGAAAATAACCTGACAGAGGTAAGGATTATCTAAATAATGCTCAAGGATGTAAACAAAGCTCAACTTTTATAACAGTAATTGTGGCAGAACTAGGTATATAAACTATGAACCAGTCTATATTGAATATAAACAATACAAGCTATGGGCCTATGAACAATACAATTAATAATGGATTTCATTTTGATGAAATAAACTAAATCATCAGTTAAATAAATTATTATTAAAATTAAAGAAAAATAAAACAAAATAACGCTTTGGCGCTAACATAGATTTTAGATGAAAGCTCGGATAATGTTTTCGTCTTGACTACGGTTATCCAAAATCAATTTTTAAAAGACAAATCTTATCTTTTTGTTGACTTTCATCGGACTTTTGACTGCATAAATCACACCTTGCTATAAATGGCACAAACGTTTTTCTATAGTTTTGGCTGGAAAAATATATATTATAATGCGTATACACAAATAAAGGGAACTGCTCGAGGGCTGTGACAAAATATGAAAGTTACTGAAGATGTACTACAAGAAGAGACAATGAGTCTCATGCTATTTAATCTCTTCTTATCGGATATCGAGGCATATTTCCACATGCTTAATTTATCAGGTATACCTATTGACAAATGTGTTGATATATTGTTTCTCTTGTTTGCAGATGATATGGTTATTTTTGCCGATTCCTACACCGGCCGTGTAAGAATAATTAATGCTCTAAAGAAATATTGCA